GTAAAGTTGAAAAGGTCAGTTTGATCTGTATGTTCATGACTGTTTGTTTGGTTATGAGGTCTGTTGGCATGAGCTGAGATTGATTTAACAGCATTAAATCATACAGACATGTTAACCTCATAACCATACCAACTCAGCCAAGCTGTGCCACTCGGTGTGTGCGTTCTTGTATGAGGGGTATAACGGTTCAGTTTCTGTGTCACTCACGCAATACATTTTTAAGATGGGAACCACACAGTTCATACACATTTTAACCATGGCACAAATGTGTACCAAACAGTGGGTGACAAACTGTATGAGAGCAGTTTTACCCCTTGTGTTAGTGTGTGCATGATGGCTAAATATTGTGAAGCATTAGATGTTTGAGTTTCTTTATTTACTCATTGTACACATTTTCCCCATGCTTTGCATCTTTTTGGATGTTTATTCTGTAAGGCAAAGCTAGGAGTTTTATGGCTGCTGAGATCCAAAGACACAATCTTGTTTACATGGTCCTCAAATATCTGCAGACTGATGTATTTAAACTGGCCTTCAGCACTGACACTAATCGAAAAATAAAAATTTAGTTCACAACTAGGGCAAATTTGTGTACTAAATCAGTCTTTAAGGTGCACTCAGTGGTACTTTTTATTTTCAAAAAAGCTTGACATACAGCCCGAGTGTTCATCTCACGGGTCTATATGAGTCTGAGTTCTGTATATATTGTTAAATGTTGTTGGTTCTTATGTGAATTTATGTATTTGTGTCGTCACCAGGATGCAGAGGAAGGCTTGATTGCGTATGAAGAAAGTGGAGTGAAGAACACGCTTCCCTACTATATTAAAGACCTAGAGGGAGGTGCTTACCCACAGGTTGGAGACAAGGTATGTTAGACTGGCACTGTGGCTCAGTGTTATTTGTGCTTGCTGAATATCTCCTTGGACTAATAAAGTAGTTTTTCAACTTGATAATTTGTTGTAAAGTAAACCCTCATGTCTCCACTAGGTGGAGTTCTCCATCAGTGAGGTAAAACGCACTGGACAGCAAAGCGCTGTGTCCCTCAAGATCCTTAATCGTGCTGTTGGCACCAAGAGGCTTCTGGGATACATTGCAACACTGAAGGATAACTTTGGCTTCATAGAAACAGCCAATCATGATCAGGAGATCTTCTTCCACTACAGGTAATTAATGTTTCTCCTTGATGGCTTTGCCTCAGTTTTTTTTTCCTTGTTTGATTTGTTGTTGTTTAATCTGAATTGTGTGCAGTGAGGTGTGTGGGGATGTGGATAATATGGACCTGGGAGATGCAGTGGAGTACACTCTATCCAAGGGCAAAGGAAACAAAATCAGTGCTGAGAAGGTCACCAAAGTTGCAGCTGGTATGTTGCAGAGACTTTTTATTGGTTTGGCATTAATACATTAATATTTGTTTCATGCAAATAACACAACTCTGCGTGTGTCAGTGAATGGTGTAGGAGAAGATGTGAGTAATACCGTGTTCCTGGGGAAAGTGGTTCGGCCCTTGCGCAGTGTGGACCCTTCTCAGACTGATTATCAAGGCCTTATTGAGATCACAGAGGAAGGTGAGTGACACAAGCTCTTTTTTTTGTGTGTGTGGTACTTTTAAAATCCATTTAGAGCATTTTGTAATCAAGTTAGAAACCATGAACTCCCCTCATTTTTAATGAACTACTGTTATGTGCTCAAACATTTCTAGAAGCCAGCAAGGGTCAGAGTTATCCGTTTGGCATCGTTGGTATGGCCAATAAAGGTGACTGTCTGCAAAAGGGTGAGATGGTGAAGTTTCAGTTGTGTACAGTGGCCCAGACAGGACAAAAGATGGCCTGCAATATTGTGCCTCAGCGTAGAGCCCTGGTGGAGTGCGTCAAAGATCAGGTAAACTTACTGATGCAAGAAAGTGAGAAGGTTTTACCTTAAACAACTGGCTAAAAGTGTCTAACTTAAGCCCCCCTCCCCCCTCCCCAGTTTGGTTTCATCACGTACGAAGTTGGAGAGAGCAAGAAGCTGTTTTTCCATGTCAAGGAGGTGCAGGATGGTCTGGAGCTCCAGGCTGGTGATGAAGTGGAGTTTTCGGTTATCCTGAACCAACGCACAGGCAAATGCAGTGCCTGCAATGTTCGCAGAGTCAGGTAAGACTGTTGGGTGTGAATCTGAGTCACATGTAATATTAGGATATTATTGAGCTCTTAAATATATTATATTTATATTGGCTTTTTAATTAATCTAACCAGATTTGTGTTTTGTTTTTGTTTTTTTAATTACACAGTGAGGGTCCAAAACCAGTAGCAACACCACGACCTGACAGACTGGTCAATCGCTTGAAGAGCATCACTCTTGATGACACCAACGCCCCCCGTCTTGTTATTATCAGACAGCCTCGTGGCCCAGACAATTCAAAGGTAAAAATAAACTTGATTGTTGAGTCTAAATCAAAAACTAACTTTTTGCAGGTTTTTAGAAAATATTTGTAAACATTCTTGCTTCAAATACTGCAGTCCAGGATACTTTCAGATATGAAACTTGCCTAAAACAATTGTGACATCTTGATATTGACCTCTTTTGTTCCTACAGGGCTTCAATGTAGAGAGGAAATCCCGCCAACCTGGTGTTACTGACTGAGTACTGTTCACCCCTCTCTTCCTCCTCCTCCTCCTCCTCCTCCTCCTCACTATGGAAGAAACACCTTGAAGAAAAGCAATCAGACAGAGGGCAGAGGAAGGGATTTGTGTGTGTCTGTTTAGTTCGCTCTCATTTTATCTCACACATAAACACAATTCACAGAGTAACAAACCCATCAAGACTTGAAAATTATCACACACAATTCCCTTCCTTTGTCACAGGATCCCTTGCAAAAAAAAAAAAAATCCTCATCTCATTGTCTTCATTGTATGTGTGACGTTTTTGTGTGGGTTGTAATTTGAGCAAAACCCCTCGTGTTGTATGAGCGTGTGTGTGTGTGTGGTATGCATCACATGTAAACTTGTAAGGTTATGCAGAGGATATGAGGGGAAATAAGGGGTTTGTAGTTCTCGCATCTTTAGATTGAGATGTGGGCACTGTTTGACCCGTTTTTTTGTTTCTGCTGAAATTGAAATGCCAGGAATTCTGCACCTGCTGCTGTGTGAGTGAGTTATTGTTTTAGAGTAGCTTTGCCTGTCTGTATTTTGACCTCCGTTATATATACTTTATTCTTCCTGTATCACTTGAATCCTTCTCATGTTGAGTTTCTCACACAGGTGAAGTCGAGATATTGCTGGGCTCTTTCTGCTGAGAAATAAAATGACTAGGGTTCTTTTCGCTCACGTTTTCCATACCAATTCCATAGGTTTTAATATGGATCTGAAAACTTAATAAATTTTCTCTCCGCTCAGAACCCGCTTGTGTATGGTTTTTGATGTGTAAATTACAATTTTTTTGATTATTTTCAAATTACATTGGCTTGTTTTCTTTTTAAACAGCCTTTATTTTAATTCCTGTTTTGATTTCATAAGCTCAATCTGTTTATGGGCAAGTGCAGAATTCCTAATGGCATCTTGTAGCCTGCGGTCCTTTTTATATAGCTCTTTTTCTTTTCACATGTACTTTTCTTTTTTTCCTTTGAGTTCTACTTAATGTCTGCTAATGAATAAATTAAGAAAAAGGTGCCTAAAAACAAACAAAACAAAAAAAAATTGGTGTCTCTATCCTCGAACAGCCACCAAAATATAAGCGCAATTGTAGGGTGGCTCTTTTTTCCCCCCCATGTAGAGAATACTGGTGTGCATCCTCCCCCATACCTGTGGGTTGCAATATATTCTAAGTAATGTGTGCTTTTACTTGGGTGGTCTTTTTGAAAACCTGAATAAAACAAATGTATGCAGGACATGAGAAATGGGGGAAGTGTAATGAGTAAAATTTTAAAACGTGCAAAGAAATTTGATTACATGGATAGAGGCTATTTGCAGTGCTTCTTATGACAAATGGAGCTATAACGGTCATGAATATTCTCTGGAGCACCCTCGGTTTGTGTTGAACCTTAAGGTTCTATATACTTTTGTTAATGGTCTTGAAACAATTGAAATAAACATTTTATGAGAATCAAAGATGTATTATGTTTAATTTTTTATGAGCAAAGCACTGTACAGAACCTTTAAACATCTTCATGCCTTTGCACACTTTTAAGCAAGGTATCCATGAAACCTAAAAGAACCTGAGTTTAGAAGTTTCAGAGTGCTTAAACTCTGGTGCTTCCCAACTGTATGGTGATTTCAGAGCGGTGAACTATCTTATGTTTTGTCTCTGATGTTGGATTTTGGCTCTGAGACCATCGCGTCCACCACTCCCTAAGGTCTTCTGGTCCACTTAGAAGAGGATTTGATATCTGGTTTGCTGAAACAAGCACATATGGGAGTTTGGACTCCAGCGTTGTCATCACCCTTTTTGTTCCAGCATCTCCACATGATCCGTCTGCTGAGATCTGTATTTTTTTGACGCTTGTTTGGGCAGGTTTTGTCGCATCTGCTTGGATATTCTCTCCAGTGACATCTTCATGACCTGTTTGCTGCTGGGAGTTTCTCAAGTCCATCACTTGCAGTTTCTGTTTGTACTCTTCCAGCTTAGCTTTGCACTCAGCAGCTTCTTCTTTTATCTGAAGGAACTGCCTCTGAAGGTCTCTCTCAAAGACTTCCTCCACCTTGAGCTCATTGAGCCAGAACTTGAGCTGCTCCTCTTCTTCCGACAGCAGCTCGGAAAGCTCCCTGGTAGCTTGCTGCTGCTCTAGCTCAAGGATCAACTGGTCCGTTGACTTAATTTTGTGCTTTAGTTCTTGCAGACTTGCCTGTTGTTGGACAACTAGATTTCTTAACTCTACAGTCTCTTTACTCTCGGTCTTTTGATGGATTGTTTGGACCACTGGATTATGGGTTTTCAGGTCCTCCTCTGTGCCTTTCCGTTCCTCTTCCTCTCGTCTCTCACATACAGCACTCTCATCAGTGTATCTCCCACGGTTCCCAAGGCAACTGATCAAAGGCTGATGTGGTGCAACTCTATTTTTGTCTTTTTTGTCTCTTGGCTCCGGTGTCCCAGAAGCCAGGGAACTTTTGGTTGTGTTATCTGAGTGCCCATTTCCTTTTTTGTCCTCCTTGTCTTTCCCCTTATCTTGTCCTGATTGCTGCTTCCCGCCTCTGCCCAAGTTTTCCAGCCAACCCCATGCTTCCTCCATTAGCGTTAGCGACTTCCGCTTGGGTCTCTTCGGTTCCTCAGGCGGTGGCTCGGAGTGGATGCAGAGGCGTGACAGCGGTGGGAGGCTCTGGCGGTGTAGGGCGATTGCCCCGCTGCCTCTCCGTGCTCTCCCTGTCCCCTCCGCTCGCCTCATTTGGGCTTTGGGCTGGTTTGTTTCTTCCCCAAGGGATGGACCGATATGCTTCAAAGTGAGCTGCACCTCCTTAGCTTGCTCACCATATTTCTCCAAGGACTCCAAGAGACGTTCATCTGGAGTCACATTACGTTCATAATCTTTGAATTTTTCTCTCAGAGTGTATCGACCAGTGCGACCTAAGGGAGAACAATATTAAAAGTTATATTTTTGGGACAAACAGATGCTTTTATCCAAATATCTTTTCATCTTAAGGAGGCAATATAACACAAGAAGAGCTAGCAATACAAACTTTCAAACATTGTCCAGAATAGTACAAGCTAGAATAAACTACTTCTTTAATATTATCAGGGATTTGGCTGTTTGGAGAGTCAGAGCATTCATTTTTAATCAAAACATCAACTGTAACCGTTTTACTCACCCTTCTTTCATTCCAAAATTGTCCTCTGTGGAACACAAAGATATTTTGATATGAACTGTTTTTGTCCATATAATGGAAATCACTGTGGTCCAAAACAACTTTGACTTTAATGGTTTGGACAAAAACACTGACAAAATATCTTCTATGTTCCACAGAATAAATAAAGTTGCACAGGTTTGGGACAATACGAGGTTGAGTATATCATGACCAAATTTTTATTTTGGAGTGAACTGTCACTTTAAGGCCTTTAAGGGCATTTGAACTTCTTATGAATGTTCAGTAGTTTCAGCAAATGCTTGCAGACTAATTGTATGATTTCTTCATGTTCATGTTTTTGACAGTTGTTTCATGAAATAATTAGCTCCAAGATGTTGGCCCAGATTAATTTACCAAGTGCCCGTGCTAAAGCGATGACCACCTCCTGACATGTTGTTTTGTCAGTGACGCTAGAGCCCTGCGCGGGACTGTTTTCTTAAACCCGCACCCGCCCGCTCCCGCTGAATGTATGACCAGGACCGCCCGCTCCCGCAACCTATGTGTTCCACTCCCGCCCGCGCCCGCAATGTTTGTGTCCACTCCCGCCCGCAGCAAAGGTAAAACCGCCCGCTCCCGCGAGATTTGCGTTGGGTCCCGCGGGTCCCGCGGGAGCCCAAACCCAATGCAGCCCTCTAAGTGACGCCACAAACTATGCGCTGGACTCCTTCGACATACACCTTTACTTCCATTCTAAAAGAAAAATAAATCAGATGTTTGTTTCTTCTGTCTAAACCTTTCTGTAAGCCTAAAATGTCACATTCTCAAGAAAATGTCAATCCAATAAAATGACTTGTTCACTCCATAATAAATATTCACCCCCAAGTTGTATTCACTCAATAACGAACTACTGATCACTGGTTTATGTAGAGAAAAAATGTAATATGAACATTCAGTAAGCCAATGTTGTAATATAGCATTTTGAATATGAACAGAATAAATCTATTTTTTTTAGCAAGTAAATGATATACTATCATATGTGGTTGTATAGATGGTCGAGTTCATAAAATTAGATTCTGATTTTATGGAGGGTGTGTACTGTACCTGTCTTGATGATCAGAAAATTGAAGCGTAGTAAAATCCTTGCACTTAGATAAGAGGCAGTTCGGTATATGTTGTCCTGGTGTACATGGAAAAGTCTTCTTGTCATCCTTGACTTAGCTGAGCAAGTACAAATCCTTCCCTTCAGTAAACATTCAGATCAAGACTGATAACAGACTTTGGCTGTAGATGTTGGTATGTGTGTTTGTCTACAGTGCAGTACATAAATTCCCTAGACATTTTTTATTTTTTTTTGGATGCTAATTATTTTGAATTTGAGTAAACATGTTTACATTTGACTTATACTGGGGCCAAAACAGGGCTTCAGTTACTAAACATGCTGTATGTTTTCTTAAAATCTATACTATATCTTAAAAATACTTATGTCCTTGCAGTCAGATGTTTAAGAAAACATGAGCACAGACAGTTAAATAATGAATATACTATATGAGCTACTATTTAGTCAAAATAAATATAGGCACCATGAAGTGACCATTGATTTTTTTAAATAATAAATCAGTAAATAAAACATTTAACACATTTTATTTTGTAATATGAAATGGTATTTTGATGAACGTTTTAAGAAATCTACATATACATATTTTCTGCCTTGATTTAATTAGCTGATAATCAATTAGAAAAAAAAAATCAAGTTAAAAAAAATGAATGTAACTAAATGTAATCCATTTGAAAGGTATTTCAATTTATCTAAAATTTCAGAAACATCAGACAGAAAAAATAGGGTGAGTTATAACTAATAAAAATTTGTATATTTTAAAATGTCTGCATGAATGTATTGTGGTTATCAAATGTACTTGTGGCTTCTGTATATTTGTTTCTTTTAAAAGTGGTTCTGTACAAAAAAAAATGTAACTTTAAAATAAATTATACAAGATACTACAATGCATTGTGGAAAACTGCATACTGATTACAGGGCCATAGTCGTCAAACATTTAGACCAGTAGTATTTTGAATAAACGCAGGTGTAAAGACTTTTATTTTGGAAACATTTCAGACGGACAAAAATAAGGTCAGTAACGTTACTTCACACATGCATTCAGCTTGAATCGTCCGACGTTGTTTGACAGATAAACATGAAGATTGTAACATGGAATATAAACGGCATACGAACGTTTAAAAATGGCATCAAGAAAATTTTGGATTCATTCGATGCCGATATAATCTGCGTCCAAGAGACTAAAGTTACCCGTAAGTGTTTTAAAGAAACGCGGGACTTTGAATGGCTTGATAAAGCACATGTGCCCTATTTTTAACAATTTAATAACTTTAACAGCTCAGCATACATTTTTTTCAGGTGACCTTTTAGATGAGAAGACAGCAATTGTTGATGGCTACAATTCATACTTTAGTTTTAGCCGAGGACGAAGTGGATACTCGGGTAAAGCAGCCTACAGAACCATTAAACGACAGTAAAGTGACTTAAAATTAAATCTGGAATGTTTTAAACACCGGATTCATGTCCATATTTTTAATTTTTAAAAATAAACGTAGCCTTGTTTTTACAATTACTGTCTGCAATGAGCAACCTGAATTTCTCCATGACCAGGCGTAGCGACCTACTGTAAGGATACTGCTACCCCGTTCCTGGCTGAGGAAGGATTGACAGGTCTGCTGGCCAATCAGGGAGAGGCTGTTGGTTGCTATGGTGTCCAGGTTGAGTTTTCTAGTGAGGAGCTTCTGGCGCTGGACAATGAAGGAAGGGCTGTCATCACTCAGCATCACTTCATGTAAGTTTAAGGATCTTGGACATTAACATGTTGTGAACGTTGTTTTCACATATTTTTTATTATTCTCAGTGGCA